GAAAGGCATGTGCCCTGGAGGAGAGAGCTGCCTGCCATAGCAGGGGCCAGGTGGGGGGCGGCAAATGCAATTTTTTTAAAAGCTGGGAATCTTTTCCTCCCGAAGAGGAGTAGGGTTGCTTGTTCCTATCCCCTATCACATCCTTGGGCCCTGCTCTCAGTCCAGGACCTTGCAGGGCTGTTGCACAAAAGGAGGTGCTCTGTCTACCCCATCCCCAGGCAGCAGCTAATCTCTTTGCAGAGCAAAATAAGTAATATTTATTGAGCCCTTACAAAGCACTAAACAATTTACATGGATTGTGTTAGTCAATCTGACAACAACACTATGAGAGAGATGCTATGATTACCCCCACTGTACAGGTGAGGAAAGGGAGGCTCCCCAGAATTCCATCACTAGCCCGAGATCACAGACCCTGGTGAATACTAGAGCCACATGCCTGAGTGCCAAGCTAGACGCCCGCCCTCCCCAGATTCCTGAGGGGGAGCCACCTTCTCTATGCCTGTGTGGCTGCTGGGGAAGGCGCAGGGGCCGGTGGAATGCTGCAACTCTGTGCCAGGCTCCATCCCACTTTCCTGCCCCATTTAATACCTCAAGACCTGAAAACGCCCAGAGGCCACACAGCTGTGGATTCTTCTGTTACTGATAAAGACTTCTTCTAAATGAATCATTTCCTTCAAAAAGGAGGAAAACAATATTTTTAGATAGTAGCAGAAAATACCCACTCTCTGATCCTGCTCAGGTCCCCAAACAGTGTGACAGGAAGTACCAGTTCCTGGAGGGTCTCGCATCTAGCCTCAAACCTCTTGTGGACCTAACGTCACAACTGACCCCAGAGAACCAGTCCCCAGGCTCTGTCACTCAGGAAGGCTGGGGCTCCACCTTCGATCCCAGTGGCAGGAACAGACTTGCCTCCTGGAATGTTGACCATCCATACATGGGTGTCTTCTTTACTGGGTGGGGCCTTCATTTCTGTCCTGTTCTGTCTTCCTCCTTCCCTGCCAGTGTCACCTTTCTCTGCCTTTCTCTCTTTTCCTGTCACTGCAGTCACTTCATTCATTAATTCACTCATTCTTTTTTCTTTTCTCCGTATTTATTGAGCCCCTTTCTGATCCGTAGGTTTCCACTCTTGATTTTCTCTCCTATTCTGGTGGGCCCCCTGACCTAAGGGTCACTTGCTAGCTGCCCGCTATTAAGCTGAGCTCTCCCTGTCCCCTTTGCTGACCATTCCAGAGCTTGGGCTGGGTCAAGGTATGACCATTTGAATGGTTCCTGCCAACTAGATAACATATTCAAATTTGAACGGTTTTTTTGAGCCACAGTTAACATACAATAAAGTTGAACAATTTTAAGCATACAGTTCAATGACTTGTGGCAAATGCATAGAGGTGGGTAATGACTACCAAAATCAAGATGTAGAACATTTCCATCGTCCCAGAAAGTTTTCTTGTGCCCTTTTGCAAAATCCCTTTTCCTCACCCCGGCTCTTGGCCATCCTTAATCTATTTTCTGTTGATATGGTTTGGGCTGTTTTTAGGAATGTCACATAAATGGTATCATAGACTATCTAGTCTTGTGTGTCCTTTATTTAGGATGATAAGATGCATCCATGTTGTTGCATGTATTGCTGAGAAGTATGCCACTGTCGTTGTACTACAATTTGTTGATTCATTCACCCATTGGTTGGCATTTGGGTAGTTTCCAGTTTGGGGCTAAAACGAATAAAGCTGCTATGAACATGCACGTACGAGTCCTTGAGTGGACGTATGTTTTCATTTTGCTTAGGTAAATACTTATGAGTAGGATTGCTGAGTAGGGTGGTAAGTGTATATGTAACTTTATTTTTAAAATGGCCAACTTGTTTCCCACTTGGTGGCATCACTTTACATTGCCACCAGCAGTATATAACACTTCTATTTTCTCCACCTTCTCACCAACACTCAGTATGGTCAGTCCTTTTAACCTTAGTCTTTCTTATAGGTGGATAGTGGTATCTCATAGTAGTTTCAATTTGCTTTTTTTAAAAATAATTGCTGATGTTGAGAATCTTTTTTATGCACTTCTTGGCCACTCAGTATATCTTCTTTTGTGGTATCTTTTGCCCATTTCTTTTTGGGTTGTAGAAGTTTTTCTGATCTTTTCTTAATCTCTTTTCTTCTTCCTTCATCCCTCTATCCCTCTGGATGTCTCTCTCTTTGCCCCTCTGTCCCAGCTCCTGACTCCCTGCCCCATTCTCAGACTCATCCACTAGCTCCCTCCCCCCCTTATCCTCCTTTGCCTCCTTCTTCTTCCTTCTCCACTCGTGTCCTCCCTTCCCCTCCAGGACACCTCAAAACCTGAGAACATGGCCTCCTTTCCCATTCCATATCAGAAAGAGCTCCATCACAAGCCCGCCGATTTGAGTCCTGGCCAGGTTCTGTGCTCCAAATAAAGGGGAATAACCCCCTCCCCAGATGAAGGCCTAGAGAAGTGAAAAGGCAGAGCCTAGTATAATAGAGGGGTGGCTTTGCATTCTAGTATCTTCCTCCTCCCTAAAGATTAGTGGTGTTAAGGATAGAAGGGCTTTTTACTCAACCATAACATTGGAAAGTCACGGGTGTCAAGTGACGTTCATCCTGCTTAATCAGTGGTCCAACAGTCTCCGCAAACATGAGATTAGTTGTTCGTATAACAAGGCTCTCCCTTGGCACAGCTCCCATGCCCAGCAGGGATTGACCTTGCCCAGTCACAGGGAGGGACATGCCTAGCCCAAAAGCCAGCTCCTTTTCATCTCTGTTTGAGGGAACCGATGTGACTATGTTTGATGGCAAGATTCAGGACACTTAGTGCAGTGTTATAGCACCTCAGATGTGTGACCATGGAATGCTCTTTTTTTTAAAAGCTTCATTAAGATATAATTCACATACCATACGATTCACCATTTAAGGTATATGATTCAGTGGTTTTTAGTATATTCACAGATATGTGCAACCATTATTACCACAGTTGTATATATCATCACCTCAAAGAGAAACCCTGTACCCTTTAACTATCACTCCCCATATCTACCTATGTCCCCAGCCCCTGGAAACCACTCATCTACTTTCTATTTCTATAGATTTGCCTATTCTGGGCATTTCATGTAAATGGAATCATGTAATCTGGCTTCTTTTACTTAGCATAATGTTTTCAAGGTTTATGCATGTTCTAGCATGTATCATACTTCATTTTTATGACTAAATAGTACTCCATTATATGGATGTACCACATTTTGTTTATCCGTTCATCAGTCAATGGACATTTGGGTTATTGCCATGTTTTGCTATTATAAATAGCGCTGCTGTAAAAACTCATGTACAGATTTTTGTGTGGACCTATGTTTTCATTTCTCTTGGGTGTTTACTAGGAGTGGACTTACTGGGTAATTTGGTAATTCTATGTTTGATTGTTTGGGGAACTGCCAGATTTTCCCAAAAAGGCCAAACCATTTTACATTCCCACCAGCACTGTATGAGGGCTTTAATTTCTCTACAGTCTCACCAACTCATGTTATCTGATTGGAATGGTGTTCTGATCCTATAACCAGATTCTCATCATGTCACACATACATACCCAGCCACACATACACTTACACAGCCATCAACACAGACACACACAAAACTATAGTCATGCATACCTGCACATACCTCTAGAGTTCACATACATGCACACAGAATTCCAGATAGACATTTACAGTCACATATACAGCCATACATACATATATAATCACATGTGACAGCATATGTGCATATCATAGACCCACATGCATGAATCTAAAATAGGCCAATGCCATCACACATCTACATACAATTCTCATAGGTTCTAGACAACTACATACACTTGCCCAGAGAGCCAGAGACACATGCACTCAGCAATTCACTCACACCTGCCCAAACACACAACCACAAGCAATAGTTGTACCCACAAAAGCATAGCCCTAAAACGGCACACATATGTAGTTACCATGAATTATGGGTGGGTAGCTGAAGACAGATTGAATATATTTACTCTGGAGCATGGGGATGGTTGAGGTTTTCATAGCCCTTAGTGTACTGAATAAGAAAACCATTTCTTTCATGTGTTCTTTAAGCTACCCAGCATATTGAACATATGAAAGACAAGGATGAACAAGACATAGCCCCTGCCCTCAGGAAACTTAGAGTCTAGTCGGGGGATGGTCAGTAAATAAACAAGGAAACAATCAATCTGATATGTATCAATAAGGAAATAAGCAAAGTAGTATGTTAGATTATAGGCCAGGTGCCAGGATGGTAGAGTGTTTCCAGGGCGTTTTAATATTGTTCCTCCCTCTTTCATCCAGGAAAAGTGAAAAGGATTAAGAGTCACCTTCCATAAATCACTGAATAAACTGGTGTGTGTGTTGTGTGGGGGCAGGGGTGGGGGGGCGGGCGGAGGCAATGAAGGAGGGATACTCAAGACCTCAACTACCTGGTTTTACATTTTGTCTCATATTAGTTGGGTGATCTTTCTTTCCCTCAGTTTCTCATCCAGAAATGGGGATAATAGTAGTACCTTTAATAAGGATTAAATTAGCTTGTACAGCGCTTAGAAATGCCTGGTAAGTGTTAAGTTCTCAATCAATATTAGCCATTGTGTCATATTCCGAGAGTAGGTTTTCATAGAGGGAGGTGAGTGCACTGGGAGATGGGATGGGAGGGGCCGGGGGAACAGGTCCAGGAGTCTGGACGTGCTCTGCGGTTGTGAACCCAATGGGCCTTCATCCTCTGCTGTATCGGGCAGCTTTTTGGAATGTGGTCTTGGCATGCCACCCCATCAAGACATAAACCAACCTGTCCCCACCCTGCTTTGCCCGCAGCCACTAACCACAGAGACGACACATGATGGGTGGCACTGGGCGTGGCCGTCTGTGTTCAGCAGCATCAGGACTTTCTGGAGCTGCTCTGCTGGGGGCCTCGCTTGTGGCATTCACTGGCTCTGCTTGGCTGTCTTTTCTCCCTGTATAGGTCAGCATTTATCATCCCACACCTGCCTCCCCAGGACATTCCACGGCCATCGTCAGCCTGGCCGGCTCCCAGCAACATCTCTCAGCCAACAACATGTGAGTAAAACACTCAGCACCCCCAGGCCCCAGTCCTGGCACAGAGGGGTCACCTTTGCCATCCTGCCTTCGACCATCACCACTCTCAAACCATCCCCTCCAGAGAGACAACAGTTTCCCTTCCTGTACAAGCACCAAGAGAAAAACTGGTGAAAAAAAGACAAAGTAGCAAACCACGTCATCCTAGCTCATTATTTTACAAAAGTAGAAAGAGCCTAGAAGATTAGATAGCAAAACATGGCTGGGAGATTGGGTGGTGAGCAATTTCTATTGTCTTCCTTTAGATTCAGAATGTTGGGTTATAAATAGACGTTGCTTTAGTAATCAGTGAAAAATAAATGTAGCGTTCTAGAGGAGGGGGAAAAAACCCTGCAGATGAGAACACTTTCCACCAACCCCTCTGCTGAAACCTTTCAATCTCTCACAGTCCTTAGAATCTAAAAGGACGCCCTGATGTCTAGCCTGAAGGTCATATACTGGGAACCCCTGAGTCTGGCGCACCAAAGTGGGTTGTTTTTTTTAATGCCTTTAGTCAGCCAGGCATTCTCACTTCCACAGCCTCACTATTCCCCTGTGCCTTCATCCCTGACTCACAGATGGATGGGACCTTCCTGACCCCTCCGTGGACTTCAGAGTAGAAAGGACTGCTCTCACTCGAACACATTTTTGCAGCAGGAAGCCCGTTCCCCTCCATCCCACCACACAGCCAGCATTCCACTGTGTGCCAGAGAACTAAAGCTGAACCTGCCTCCCTCCTCCCAGTGTCTACCTCCCTGCCCATATTCAGCCAGCTCTTCAGGCCATTCCTGGGAGTCAAACAGGTCGCTCCTCTCAGGAGAGGGTGTGGATCACAGAGGCTTCCAGCTGACCTCCTATTTCCCTGAACCTTGCTGGCTGCAACCGTTGTCTTGGGTAATGCTCTAAGCTGTGGGAGAATTCACCCTCAGTACAGCAGCACGCCTGGGGTTGAGACCTGGCTCTGCCACTAATTCCTGGTCACCAACTCCTTTCCCTATTCTAGGCCAGTTTCCTCATTGTCCAAATGCTGATGGGGCCTAAATGAGTGATTTTCAGCTGTGTGAGAGTCTGTGGGGGAGGGGGAGATGGAGAGGGCAGGTTCAGCCCCTTTTGTCTGCCTTATATATTGAGGTTTCGGTTTTCAGAGGTTGTTATTGCTAACCACTGGGCTGAGGGTCCGTCTCCCTTCACCCTCCGCTGCTTCCCTGCCCTCCCCTAGGTGTGTACACCGCCTTTCTTCACCAGCCCCTGTGTCTCCCCAGGTTTGTAGCCCTGCACTCCTACTCAGCGCATGGACCCGATGAGCTGGACCTGCAGAAGGGAGAAAGCATCCGGGTCCTGGGGAAGCATCAGGACGGCTGGCTCAGGGGCGTGTCCTTGGTCACGGGGCGAGCCGGCATCTTCCCCAACAACTACGTCATCCCTGTTTTCAGGTGTGTCCGCTCTAACCTCAGGCATCGGGGTGTCAGGGCTTCTAGGCTAGGGGCCAGCTGTGGGTTGAATTCCTGAAGGACTCGATGCTCTTTCAGAGTGTGGGCCAAAAACCAGCTTTTGCCCTAGTACCCTCCTAACATTTTAATTAAAAAAAAAAATAGCAAAAATAGTTATCTTTTTTATGGCTCTTCACAGTTTACAAACACTTTCACTTTTTTTTTTTTTAAAGATTTTTATTGGGGAATTGGGGGATGGGAACAGTGATAGGGAATTGGGGGAAGGGGAACAGACAAGTTGCTGTCGTTTTGTTCTTCAGTCTAGTTGTGGAGGACGTTGCTTCACTGGCCCAAGTTGGCACCATCATTGCGCTCTTCCCGGGCGAGGCAGATCAGTTGCCGGCTTCTGGATGGCCACTCACTGCAGCTGCTGGCCGCTCACGCTGGCTGCTGGCTACACACGGTAGCCCATGGCAACCCACTGCCACAGGGGCTGCAGCCTACGCCGTCGCCGACGACTCACAGCAGCCCAGCTCCAGGTTGAGCTGTTGTTCAGCATCTTAGCTGTGGAGGGCAGTGTCACTGGCCCTCATATGTGGGATCCGAACCGGGGCCCTCTGGCGTCCCAAGCCAGTTCTTAACCATCGTGCCACTCGGCCGGCCCCACTTTCACATTTTTTAACATATTAACTATATCCAAGAATCCTGTAAGGATGATACTTACAGATGAGGAAGCTGATGTACAGAGCTAGGCAACCTGCCCAAAAACTAGATTTCAGGTTTTCTGTACAAACTCCCAAAATCCCACTTCACATCCTCCACCTCGATGCTCCCTCTAGTGGCAGAGTGGGGACATGTGACGGCCAGATGCCCAGCAAGAGCGTCTCAGGAAACATCCCAGGATGCTGGGCCATTAGCAGACTTTCCATGAACTCAGACCACTCTGTCCATCCACACCCTAGGTCAAATGCTGGTCACCCCGTGGGTCTTCTTTCCCAACCTTTTTATTCTGCGGCATACCTATGAATTTCACTGGCCCACCATTTTGCCTAGCCACCTCATACTACAATCGCAGTGCTCACAAACCCCAAAACGGGCCCGGCCGAGTGGCTCAGTTGGTTAAGAGCTCGCTCAAGAGTGCGAACTCTGAGCAACAGGGCCACCGGTTCGATTCCCGGCCCGAGCTGAGCTGCTGCTGAGCTGCCAACAGGTGGCAGGATGACTCAGCTAAAAAACAAAAAGAAAAAAAAAAACACCCAAAACTATCCACTACTCTTCCGACCTTCCCCCCACCAGCCCAGGCAAAGCCTGTCCCAGGCAGTGGGGCCATCACAACACACCCAAAGCTGTCTTTATGACACACCAGAGAGTCATCAGTGCAGGGAAAGTGATAATCCCCTTGTACTCTACAGGGCCCCTCCTGGAGTCATATGACCAGTGTGGGGGACCTGCATGTAGGTGGGGCACTGAGTCTGGAGGAGATCAGCAAGGATGGTGAGGAGAGAGGAAACCACCTCACAGGAAGAACTGAAACACTAAGGTTGTTTAAGCTGTAGGAAGAGAGACGGTAATAGACTGTGTAGACCAGGAAGTAGATTTGTTCCACAAGGGGGCAATGAACCCGTGGATACCGCTTAGAAGGGTTTGGTTTCATAAAAGGCTGCAGTTTCTAACCCATAGATTTTCCATCAGGCTATCTGGTGAGGTGATGGACCCTCTTTCTAGAAAGAGTACAGGCAAAGTCTGGGTTCCCACGGATCCAGCCTTGTATAAACAGATTTCTTCACATGGCAGAAAGTGGGAGTAGAAGATCATAGTTATTCCCTTCAATGAAAGGTTCTTGGGATTTGTTAGAAAGCTGCAAAATCTCCAAAGCGACACCAAGGGTGTCTATAATGGATGCATTAATTCATTTATTTGACAAATTTATTGAGCACTGACACATGTCAGGTACCTTTCTAGATGCTGGAGAAACGCCAGTGAACAAAATACACAAAATTCCTGCCCACAGCAGCTTACATTCTAGTGGAACAGGCAAAATACAAGATATATAAGTAATATATATGCTATGTTAATGATAAAGCCTAAGAAGAAAAACCAATCAGGAAAGGGGGATAGAATTCGTGTGGGAGTGATTAAAGTTGTAATAGCTTGGTCAGGGATGGCCTTTCTGAGAAGTGAGGACGAGTTAAGGAAATGAGGAGGCGAGCCATGTGAACCTCTGAAGAAAGTGTATTCCAGGTCAAAGGAATAGCCATGGCCCTGAACAAAGGCCCTGGGGTCGAAGTGTGCCTGACATGAAGCTAGCAGGGCCGAATTAAAGCAACTGAGGGGGACGTTGGTAGCAGATGAGGTCAGAATGGTCACAGGGGGTCAGATCATATAGAATTTCCGAGGTCATAATGAGGAATTTTACTTTAACCTTATTGCAGGGTTTTGAGCAGATCTAACTTCTGTTTTAACCCAACTCCCTCTAGTTGCTGGTTGAGAATAAACTGTACAGAGGAAAAGGTAGAAGAGAGATGAGTTAAGAATATATTGTAATAATCCAGGGGAGAGATTTTCAGCAGTGTGAGACTCTATGGAGGTGAACTGAACCAGGGTGCTAGCCGTGGAGGGAGGGACAAGTGATTAGAGTCTGGCTATGTTCTGAAGGTAGAGCCAACAGGATTTTCTGACAGATCAAATATTGGGTGAGAAAGAATAGAGGATTCAAGGTGAGTCCAACTTTTGCCCTAAGTCACTGGAAGATGGAGTTGCCTTTTACTGAGATGGAGGTGAAAACCAAAAGAACATGTTTTTCTGGGGGAGTGGGGAGGAGGAAAAGCTTATTTTGCAGCAGATTAAGTCTCAGATGCCTATTAGTAACCCTAGTAAGACATTGGTAAGCAGTTAAGTATACAAGTCTAGCATTTAAGAAAGAGGTTCAGGCCTGAGATGGCTTTTAAGTCCCTAACAATAGATGAAATCATCATGGTAAGATCAGGTGTATTGGAGAGAATGACAGTAAGCCAGGAGCTAAAATCTTCCAGGAATGAGCAACCTAGGGGGAAATGATGACTACAGCCAGGTGGTAGCATCTGATAATATGCACCAACACCGGGAAGTATGGAGGAGGCTGGGAGAATGATCTAGAAGCAACAATGAAGAGCAAGGAGGATGCCTACCCTAATTCATGAACAGTTTCTTCCGTGGGGTCTAACATGAATTCTTCAGGGCCATGCCTACTGCTAGGGCATTTGCTTATGCATCAGGCCTCAGCCCCATGTCCTGGTTATGCCAGGAAAGAGCCATTAATTAAGAGTGACCAGATAATTTGTCACCCAAACTAGGACACTTCTGAGCTAAGAGAGGGATGCTCTCATACAGCAGGTGTAAGTGGAGACTCTCCTGGGAAAGTCAGGACATACAGTCACCCTAACGGGGACGCATGTAGGACTCCATTCCATTGTATTTCCAGGCTCCAGCTTCTCTTTATCTCCTCCTTGGCTTTTTTTCTCTTGTGTTCCTGGGTATGTTGTGAGCATCTAGACTCACCTGCTCCCATATGGCTGCATGTCAGGTGATGGATGGCGTTTTAGCACCACAGATAGCCATTGAGTTCATCTTCCCCACTCCCAGCTCATAGAAACCTGAACATGTGTGTATGCTGAGGAACTACTTATGTCAATGGGTGTTTTTGCTTCTAAAGAAACAGCTTGTCCAAGAAGAAGTATATTCCCCCATCAAATTATATTCCCCTCAAGGCTATTAGGTGACAGAGGATGCATGCTTTCTGTGCATGTATGTTTTCCTGGTTGGCCTCCTCGACACAGAGAAAGTTCCCGTCCCCACTGATCCTGGACTTGGATAACATAGGTCCAATTTGTCTATCTGGGGGCAGCTCACCCTCGTTCTTAATCACCCTTTCCACTATGGGAGGTTTAGTTCCTCCCGTTTCTTAGGGCTGAATGATGCTCTCATTTGTCAGCTGGGTTTCTACTACTTTAAGCAGGTGATCTTAGAACTGAGTGGGTTGGAATACCTGTGTTTGCACTCTCGGATTCTGTGTGTGTGAGGCTCCCCCACCGCCTTTGTTTTCTGTTTGCAGTGATGGTTCTGCACTGGCACCAGCCCCCTTGATGTATAGTGCCACCTTTTAAAAACAGCCAGGGCTCAGAGATGTGAGGTTCCCCCTAAACATTTGAACTTTTGCACTTATTAGCACTGTTCCCTCATGAACTGAGCCAGCCAGAGTTTCACCACTAACTATAGATAGTCCAGAGTTGCCAGAATGCCAGCGTTTTGATATAAGATTCAGCAAGTGAGCCTTTTAATTACCAAGAGAGAAAATGGCCGCCATGCTATCCCAAGCTCCAGCCCTCTGTGCTAGATGGGGACGCCGACCTGTCCAGCTGTTGACCACAACTAGATCTCTGCTACCATGACATATTTCCCCCGATCCTCAAGGCATCTATTGGTTCAGGTTGTACAGGACATTTGTCATGTTGTCATCCAAACCCTATCTTAATAGCACAACCCTTTGGGTTTCCTCCTTCGTGCATAGTCTTGGTGGGAGGCAGAAGTTTCCCCCCTTTTCAGAGGCCAACTCCTCCTCCTCCTCCTCCTCAACCCATTACCACAGCTAAGGGGCAGGCTTTGCCCACCTGGTACTCCCTCTTGGGCCTTGGAAATTTGAACAAGGGAGGAAAGAATGTGGGCCAAGTTGAAGACCATTCATGGCAAGAACACAAGCCTCCCGCCTCAGATTCCCACTGCCGAGCTCTCGGCAGCCCCCCTTCCATCCTGTTTCCAAGCCCTTTCCACCCGCTCCTATTCCAACAAATTCCCTTCTGCCCAGTCGGCCAGGATAGTTCTCTTTCCTGCAACCTTCACTGGACATATGTGTCCTCCTGGTGCCTTAGGGATGGAGAAAAGTGACCCATGGGCCACCACGCATTTTCCTGTAACTTTCTACACAGAACTATACAAACAATGTCAGGGTCCAAGCTCGCACCTGACCAGGCAGCCACTGCCAGTGGTGAGCACGCAGAGCTGCCGTTGTGATGCCTCTTTCAAACACTGGGCAGACTCTTAAAGGTTCATGTATTGGACCTGCACACTCACAGCAGAGCAAATCAGACACAACATGGCTTCCTTCCACCCAGTTCCAACTGTCGTTCAGTCTCTCCATCTAGAAAACAGACAATGATGTCTACAGGTCTGGGGTGTTATGGGGACTAATTAATATAGGCGAGCAACGTGCTTTGATGTTAGAAGAAAGACGTAGAGGAATCCTGTGTTGGATGGGGGCCTTGAGATTTAGGAGTTTCTGGAATCCAGCCTAGTGCTGGGCTCAGAAAAAAATGAGGTTGCACCTCAGTCTGTAAACTGTCGTTCAAATAAGGGACTGCTAGAATAAGGCTGGTTTGGGCCTCACTATCTGTATTCTGTTCTTGCTGCAGCTGCTGAAGCAGTTTTTGAACCTGGCTTTCCTGTTTTCAGTCCATTTTGCAATGTCCAGCACCTTAAAGCCTCTGTTTAAAAGACAGGCAGACGCAGACTCTGCCATGGAAGCCAGTGCTGGGGCTTTCTTTCCACCGCCCAGCCCTCATCTCCAGAAAGTAGTCTGCACTCTTCCTGGTGAACCCACTCCTCTATACTGAGCATCACCAGGGACCAGAGGCAGGTTGACGGCTGTGGACAAAGTCTCCTGGCTGCAAGCATCAGCTCCTGGCACATTAGGCTGCCTATGCTTCTTGGGCAGGGTTGTCCACGTTACATGATGCCTTACCCATCTCTGTACAACACTGGCTGGCTCATTATTAAACTGCATGTCACTTTTTTAAGCAAAAGGAGAGAAAAGGAGGGGGAAAAAAAAGGGAAATTCCCGAAAGAGAAACCTGGAGGGCAGCTCCATGCCGAGGCTGCGGTCAAATTGGTTATTCCCAGGTAATTAGCCGAGGTTATTGAATCAGTAGAGTGACAAGGTGATTGATGGACTATTCAATAGGGGCTGTGATGTTGGGGAAGGATTAGTAAAAGGGCAAGAAAGGCATGTAGGATGACAGCCATTCTCCATGGGTTTCAAGGACTTGTACGCTGGGAACAATGGAGAAGGGGTTGCTGTTTTACAAAACTTTAATACTATTCTTAAAAATCAGAGCCCAAGGCTGAAGAATCAGGGTCTCATGGAGGCACCTGTAGGGCCTACGTGCTGCGTTAGTTCATGTCTTCCAAGCAGGATTCAGGGTTTCCCCTGCTACAAATTGATGAATGCTCTAACTAGCCCAAAGTCAGTGTGGTTCAGTGGTAAGAGCACAGGTGCCGTGGCTCAATGGTAGAGCAGAGAGCCAGTCTGGACCTGGGTTCAAATCTCAAGTCTAGGAGCTGCTTGGGCAAATAACTGTAAATCTCTACTTATTTAATCCACAAAATAGTGGCACTAATAATACCCTACCTCAAAAGGCTGTTGTGGAGAACCCATGACATAAAGTGGGCAAAGCACGTGGCTAGTGCCCGGCATACAGTAAGTGCCCAGTCTGTGTTAGCCAAAATGACTGGCATCGGTGCCGAAAGCACCATGGCGACCATTCGGCAAACATTTATTAGCAGACAATATATGCAAAACACATAAAACAAGTAGTACAATCTCAGCTTTCAAAGAGTTTAGAATCTAGTGCAAAGAGAGATGAACACCTCAAGACCTTGTGCTCTGCACTCAAGGGCTAAAGGGACGTGGGGTGAGCAGTGGTTGGAGCGGGAGTGAAAGATGGCGGAACTCAAGTCTTCTCGTCCACCAGGGCCTCAGTATGAGAGCCTCAGTGTGGGTGCTCAGCACACCCACAGTGGTCAGGCATAGGGGTGTGGCCTGCTTAGCTAAGCCCGCGTTGTCAGCGAAAAGTGTGTTTATGGGTAGGAAGAGGGTGAGGCATGGCAACATTTGGTGTACGGTTGGGAGCTGGTAGTTTTTTTTAAATAGGACTTTTGGCTGACCATTTTCTTTCTTCTCTTCTGAAACAATTTCCACAACCAGAAAGACCTCTAGTTTTGCAGATTCCCGGGGCCCTGGTCTCTACGCTGCTTGGACACTCTCCACATCCTCTGTGTCCTCTCAAGGCAGCATTTCAGAAGGTGACCCCCGACAGAGTCACGCCTTCAAGTCTGTCTTTGTGCCCACGGCCATCGTCAACCCTGTGAGGACCACGGCCGGCCTGGGGACTTTCAGACAGGGCTCCCTTCGGAAAGGGCGGAGCAGCATGAGAAAGAGTAAGTGGTGGCAGAGAGGTACGTGCCTGGAGCTAAGTGATGAGGGGTAGACGGACTGCCTTCTGCAGAAACAGGGATCTTGGCTTGAAAACAAGGCTCTGGGCAGAGTGCTTTACGTTCCGCCAAGACTGAGTTGTTATATTGGGTGAAGCCAGACCAACTCAAGGTCACTGCTCTCTGGTCACTTCATCCATGCATGTAATTGACTGGGATGATGGCAGCCCTAAGCGCCAACATGTGGTTAGAACACAGCCAAGGCGAATGCTGGCTCTTATTAAGATCGAACAATTAAAGCACTTGCTGGATCAGTGCTTCTCAAACTATGCTCCAGGGAACCCTTCAGGGTGCCAAAAGGGAAACATGGGAAGGATGGGGGTGAGGAGGGAAAGAAGGTTAAGGAATCAGTGCTAAGAGCCCCTGAATCCCACTTTGTTATTTAGCTAATACATGCACTAGGTTAAATATATATATATATATATATATATATATACACATATATATACATATATATGTATATATATAGTATGAAAGCAAGTCTCCTTCATATTATTAGCCCCCAACCCCAAGTTCTCTTCCATGTACATATATACCTTATAATCATACTCACTGCATTGTCCTGTACATTGCTTTTATTTTTACCTATATAACATCTACCTGCACACATGGCAATAATATATGACTTTCCTCTTAAAAGCCATGCTTTTACCTCCTAACACATTGAACTTCTACATTAGACCTCATTTTCAGGGGTTTTAATTTAAAAAGTGTTTGAAACCCATTGTTTCACAAAGCATCAAGGATTTATATGTGTACGCCTTTCCAGAAGAAGACAATGAGCCAAGCAAAATGAATTTAATTTATTCTGTGCCCTCTGATTTAAACTGGGCTCTGCTATCTTAAAAAATGATTAAATGTGAAAATTCAATATGACTAGTGAGAGCAAAAGAATAATACATGAGACAATGTGCCACACAGGAAAATGTCCCAAGACAATTAAATCTCTCTCCCAGTACTTTCATCTGATCAGCTGTTTGACCTCAGTCTCACGATCTTGCCTTTCAGTTCCACCCAACCACCCTCCCTCCTTCACCCTCCAATACCTTCCTCCATCTTTTCTCCAACACACACACACACACACACACACACACACACACACACACACACACAATAACTAATCCCATCACAACAGCCTTGGGCAAGTTACTGACCTCTTCAGTCTTCAGTTTTCTCATTTGTAAAATGGAAATAAAAGTAGTACCAACTTCATCAGGGGGATTGTATGGCTTTAATAAAATAATCCATGTAGGACTGATGACACAGCACCTGGCACATCATAACCTGTTGAGAAATAGTAGCTATTCGTATAGTATTATTTTGTCAGTATTTTCATTGCTGCTACAACTAAGCAGATCATATTTGCAACATCCAGTGTATGAACTTCTTAGGCTCAGTCTAGACCACGTGTGAATGCTGGAACTACGCCCCATTGGCCACTGCTCACGCATCCTTTCACACACTCCCTCCCTTCCTTTGTGTAGATCATGATTATCGTGGAGCTTTGACTCATTGTATGCACATGTCTTGGCTCTCTTAGAAATTAGGAACCAACAAAATACATAGATCAGTCATAAGACCAATTTTCCCCATGTTTCCAGGAGCCTGAGGCCATGTCTGCCCAGTGCTGCTTTGACTTTCCCAGATCCCGGACACTTTCTCTCTCTCACCTTTTCCCAAGGTGAGGCTGGTCAAGCTATCAGTCTCCCCAGAGCGAAAAGAAGGGGCAGCAGAATTGACTGTGTGTACCTCACAGGGCTGACAGTGGCAAAATAAATGTCTACACTGAAAGGTCAGACTTGTGTAAATGGTGACTGGCTTGCTTGCAGCCGCTGAGAACACCGACTGTGTTTAGTGAGCATTCTGATTTTCATGTTCACATCCAGCTTGATGAAGAGTCACAATGCAGAACATGTTCTTGGCTCGGATCCTCTGTGCTGGACACAAATGACTGATTCACACACGTGTCCATAGAGCATCACGAATGGCCAACATTTCTGACTGGACGTCACCTATGGCCCTCTAAATGCTGGGAGATCTTTACAGAGAAATGGCGACAGAGTTTCTCCCACCACCCCCCGGAGTGCAGGGAACCCCTGATTATTCCCCAGGTCACCTACAGGACCTAGGATGGGGCCCTCCTGTCTCCAGAGAATTTGAGAGGAAGGGATGGTTTCCTTTTACTGAGAGGGGACCATCTTAATTAAGAAAAAAAAATGAGTTCAGGGAAGAGGCAAAACCAAGCTCCTGTACCTTGCAGACCCATAGGAGGGTTTGCTATTCTTTATCCACAAATAATATCTAACAAACACGGGCCATTTACTAGGTTCCAATCACTGTCCTAACACTTAGCACACATCATAAAATGTAATCCTCACACCAGCCCTGTGTGGTGCTGTTATTAGCTCCAGTTTGCAAATGTGGGGACTGAGGTACGGGGAGGTGATGTGACAGACTTGTCCCCAGCTCCCTGGGAGATCTGATTCCAGAGTCCATGTCATGAGACTTTGCAAGGCTCCTCCACACGTGGTCCGAACTCTAGAATAACCTTTCCAAGTTTACTTCCATCTGGTGTCACATTTACCTCGTACAATCTTAATATCCTGCTCACTCTTCCTGCAGCCCCCGACTAAAAGTGATCCCAACACTACATACCTAAAGCGTCTGTTAGAATTTTCTTTAAGTAGCTGGTCAGAGCCTTGCCTCTCGTCTAATTCCCTCTCCCTTCCTCCCATCCCTCTCCATTGACTCTCAATTTCTGCGGCTCTCTCTTTCTGTCTCCTTTTGTTTCCTCTTTGGTCTGCATTCCTCTGTTTTCTTTCTCACTGTGAAGACGTCTCTAGGTGTGTGTTCTCCACTTTCCATCTTAAAGGTCTGGAGGAAGAGAGTAGGACTGTGTGTGTGCGTGTGTGTGTGTGTGTGTGTGTGTGTGTGTGTGAGAGAGAGAGAGAGAGACAGGCAAATGGAAGTAATATACCTTCTGACACCACCCCACAACATTCAGCTAGCCACTTCTTTGCTGCCAGCATCAGCAAACAGCACTAAAAAAAGAACAAGGTCACCTTTGAAAGACCCTGAGAGAATGAGAGCACAATCAAATCGGGAAAGCACTTAACTATTCTGGGATATCAGGACACGTTGCTAACCCAGCCCCAACCCAACCTGCGGTTGGCCGCCCCCGTTGCTGATATTTCTGTCATATAATTTCCCAGATGGATCCTTGCAGAGGCCTGTCCAGTCAGGGATCCCCACCCTTGTGGTGGGCTCCCTCAGACGCAGCCCTACTATGGTCGTACGGCCCCAGCAGTTCCACTTGCACCAGCCGCAGGGGATCCCCTCGACAGTGGTGGCGGAGATGGGACCGAAGCCCATTCCCACTGGGGAGCCTGCCCTCACGTGCCTCAGCAGGGGCAGCGACAGCAAGATCCACTCGGCAGCCAGTTCCATCATCATGGAAGGCAAGGAAATCCCCATCAAGAGTGAGCCTCTACCCAAACCGCCTGCATCTGCCCCACCATCGATCCTGGTGAAACCAGAAAACTCAAGAAATGGCAGCGAAAAGGTAGGAGTGAGGTGGACCGTAGGGGGGCATGACTCTTTAGACCCCTAACATGGCCCAGTGTCCCAGCTCCTGAATTTTTGGCTTTAGTGGACAAGAAATCAAAATTACAGCCTCAAAAGAATCCTCACACCCTCATCAGATGTGTTACTGAGTCTCCTTTCATGCTTTCTGCATATTTCATACAAATTTCTTTCGAGGCCTGGAGGTGGCTTGGAAAAAACATTGCTTTGGCATCAGACAAATCTTAATTTGAATTCCAGCTCTGCTGCTTGCTAGCTGGTGACTTTGGAGCCTTTTTTTGCCTAATCTTTAACATGGGGGTAAGAATAGTAACAACCTCATAGGCCTGGATTGAAGACTAAATGAGATAAGACGGGTCATAGGGCTTGATCTCTAATTGTTCATGGTATAGAAGAGGCAGCTAAGGCACAGAGAATTCAAGGGACTTACGAAGGTCACACTGAGTTACAACGACTCTCACAACTAACTGCTATTGTGACGTCTGTTAACTTCTACGCCGTGGCTTTTCCTACTAGAAGACATGAGAGTTTTTGTAAAAGAGGGCTTATGTTCTCAATGATATCCTTGAAGCAGGAGAGATGGTGGAATGGAGGAGGTAACATTAAGAAATTAGGTGATGCTCATTATCTTTTAGTTTATTGAACATCGCATCACCCTCGCCACAATCACCACGATCACCATTGCCACCACCATCACCATCACCATCCATTTCCCCTTCAATGGAAAGATGATGTGGTTTCCTTCTCTTTGTTAAGCACCTACTGAATACCAATGACCTGGCAGGCACTATGCTGAGTACTTCACACGTTCTCTCTCATTTAATCCTGACAACCACCCTCTGAAGTCAGTATTATTATTATTATTATTATTATTATTATTATTATTCTCCTTTTAAAATGAGGAAATGGAGGCTTAAGGAGTTAAAGAACGTGTTACCCAAAGGCATGCAGTTGACACACATTAATGTCTAGAGTAGACATTACAAATACAAAAACTCATGCTCTTAATGCTAAGCTATAAGCTTGTAGAGAAAGGCATATGGAAAAAAATGTGTTGGCTGAGATAAATGTTGGGAGTATTTTTTTCTGAATTATATTTTCAAATAATTCAAAATTTTCCAGGCCTCTGTTGCCTGTTACCCCAAACTATTAGATACAGCCCTCAAACTGTAAGCATTTAATAAGGGCCCAAACCTCTGCTAGATCTGGTGAAGATCAAAAGTATGAAGAAACTTGGATTCTCAGTGGGAGACACTAGGGTCAAATTTCATGGGGGAAAGAAAAAAGAGAAATCATTCCTAAGCAGTACCACAAAACACTTTACTAAGCCCTAAGATAGGGCTTGACTAAAACAAATACCTATCGGTATCAGGCAGATATATAACAGGCCGGAGGAGTTAAAGGAGTGAGAGGGACTTGTGCAAACAGGAGACAGTGCCTCCCGTCTAAACAGGGAACGGCTAATCAGTTCCAGTCAGGTGTTGCCAATATGGGGCATAGGCCCAGGGTGCCAGATCTTTGATTTTTTTTTAAGAGACATGTGGAATACTGATTTTCATATGCAAACTCCCAAATTTTATGTATTAGCAACTTAAACTCCCAAACATTCTACCGACTAAATTCAGCCAGCAGGTGTCCAGTTTGCAAATTCTGCTCTGAGGACTTATAAAGCCATTATAGAACTCTCTAGATGGAGTCAGCAGGGGGAGGCTTTAAGGAAGTGATATGCCTTGAGATAGGCCTTAATGGTAGGTAGAGAGGAGGGAGGGAAGGTGAACTTCTTATAATTTCTAGAATAGATCATACCCTGTTGCCTCAGGCCCTTTTCTCAGGTAGATGGTTGCCTGCCCTTTTTCTTCTAGATAATTCCTAATCGTCCTTCAGTTCTCAATTTAAATAGCTCTGCCTCTAGGAAGCCTAGCCCCATTCCAGCTTCAGTTCAATACTCCTCTGCCTTCCCTAGCATCTTATCTTCCCCCATCATGACGCTTGTTATAATTGTCTTTTTGTCAAGGTAGTTTTGTTCGCTCTTGGATTCCCAGCACCTGACAGAACACATGCTGCATTGTAGACACTCATAGTAGACACAAGTATTTCCTGAATGAACGTGTGAATGAGGCTTTCAAGCAAGGACAAGTATAGAGCAACAACACGGACCAAGTCCCAGGGGAAAATTGCGCATGTCCCACCTCACCAGTGTCTCTTTGCTTTCTTTCTCTTGCAGCAAGTCAAAACCGTGAGATTTCAGAATTACAGCCCTCCTCCCACCAAACACAACACCTTCCAATCCACCTCCGGAAAGCCTGAACAGCCAGCCACCCCTAAGGGATCCCAGCCTGAAGGAGCCCCCTTGGGCCCAGAGATGACCATCCTATTCGCCCACCGAAGCGGATGCCATTCCGGACAACAGACAGAGCTCCGGAGGAAGTCAACTTTTGGCAAGACCATGACCCCAGTGTCCACTGCCTCAGCCACACAGACCGTGTTTCCCAGCAAATGAATCTACGGGTGGCTTTTCCTAGATCCCAAAGAGGTGAATTGCATTTAAATACAGTCTGCCTCCACTGAGGGTGTCCTGCCATTCTTTGGGTACTTGAGTCTGGGTCCTTGTTCTGCCCATTTTACCTCCAGGAAAGGAAAGGTGGGAGCAGGGATTCCTGCACTCGGTGGGAGGATAGATTGGGTGGCTTCCAAAACAATGATCTGATGCAGCAAGGCCCACTACTCGGACCAAGGATTGGGGGAGCCATCCTGCCCACCCTGTGCCCCAGCCTGGAATGTGTGGCCTCTTGTCCCCTGTGTTCTGTGTAGAATTTCTATGGCATACTAAAATGGGCTTCATGCAGGGGTGTCACAATGGTGGGAACACTGGCATTGCTTCTTTGACCTCATCACCATGTTCTCAACAAGCATTAGAACAGCTGCTGTCATCTGTTGGGTCCTGCACACTGGCTGCTAGTAGCCACCATTTTTTTTTTTCCCCTCTTCATAGAGTCATAATACTGGCGGCAGAGGGAGAATTTCTGGGAAGGGTGTGAGATGGATACTTTGAACATGCTGAAATCCTCTAAGACCAAAGGGAGTCAACTTCCTGAGTTTGCTCCAAACAAGGAGGTCAGAGAGAAAGCTGACTACCCAGTAGCAAAAGATGATCATGCTTTAAGCTTTTCAACCCATTTTCCTACAAGGTTAATCCTACGTAATAGATAGACAGGAAGCACATAGCTATGGATAGGGTCCTATATGGTATTATGGACAATTCACCCTGACTCTGTAGTCTGACTTCCCTAAGAAAACACAGCATGCTTAAAAATAACTTTGTAAGAGGTTTGGGTTTAGATATATATTCTGTTTGCATTACAACATTCTTTACTTTGATTTCTTCTCATTTGGGGCAGTCTAGCTGTTTCACAGGATAAGGCAGCAATGTCAGTGAGAAGATGCCAGCCCACGGCTGGGGTGAGGGCACTTCCTAGAGGAAAGCCGCTCTCAGAGGGACTGGACGAAGAAGGTCAGAGAGGAAAAGGGTTGGGAAAGGAGGAGGAGAACAGGGAGGTTTAAGGAAACACGCAAGAGAGAGAGTGGGGAGGTGAAGAGAGAGGGTGAGAAAGAAAGAGGAATGGGGGGAAATATCAGGGAAGAAGATTCAGGAGGCTTGGAGAGTGGCCTTGACATTCCTGACAGGTGGAGAAAGAAGCACAGAGTCTGCAAATCTAGGTGACCCCACCGAGAGGGGGCTGACACGAGCAGGACCAGCCAGGCAAAGCCTTGTAAAAAAGGGGGAGCGGGCATCCCAGAGTGCTAAGGCAATGCTGTAAGACAACCCACTCATTCTCATTAAACTGAATTGTTATGATTTAATATTTATTGCATGTCGTCAATGTGGGCACTTTAATGCATAAATGCCGTTTGCTAAGGCTGGATGCCATTAAAAAAAAAGGCACATCTAATTAGACCTTTTCCCTCTTGAAGAATTCCCAGTTCTTCAAGATCCCGGGATTAAAAACAAACATCTTTTACATACCCACTCACGCCCTTGACAAGATAGATTGTCCACAGACTTTTCCGGACCTTAATACGACAAAATAAAACCATAATCCTGCCAAGGAATACTGTATATATGTCAGACCGTTGCAGCTGTTAGAGCGAACTTGGTAGCACATTCTACTGTTTCTGTGAGATATTGACCCAGGTCTGCTCCACAAAATCAACATGCCCAAGTCCACGCCTCGTTGAGCTAAATAATCCACATAGAGAAATGGCGGAAAGTCACAAGCACAGGGAGTCATGGTATGATCTGTCAAAATATGAGTACATATGACTCGTCTTTACCCACAACAAGCACCCTTGATAAGTTTAGCAGTGAGTTTAGCAATCTGCTCTACACCCAGAGTGGCAGGTAGATGACATGAGCAGCCAACTCCGTAGCAATAGGTCCAGTTAACTTTTAACTGCTGGGGCTGACAAGCAGGTGGTTTGCGTGTAATAGACACACAGTCCATGCCTTTCAAAGGAAACAGAATATTCTCCCCATTGTCCACTATCTCCATAGGGTTGACCTGTCCAAGAACTGTGAGCAACTCCAAAGCCTGGCCGCCCCCACTCCATCCAGCCTCTCCACCCACGCCCAGCATCCAACCAAATCCCACCTCTGTGGAGCCTTGTGGGGATTTGAAATGGGCAGGGCGATGTTTTTTCCCAGTGAAAGTTGAACTCAAGTGGCACCTCCAACCATTCCTTCCACCACTAAGTTTCAGATATTTCCTGTGTGCCAGGATGGTAGGTACATCTTTTCCTCCTGTGATTTCCACCATAACCCTACAAGGCAGGTATAATTGTCCCCATGATCAAGTCGAGGAAACCAAGGCTTGACGAATAACCACAGATAGTAGCAGAACGAGTTTGATAGCTGCCCACACCCCGAAGTTCAAGCTACCTCACTTCAAAGCCCAGCTTGGGGGGTTACGCTGTGTGAACCAAGAGACCACCCTTGACGTCAGGACACTGAATTCAGACTGTGAGGAGATGGCGTAGTGCAGTGGTCACAAACGCAGGCTCTGTGGCACACAGGCTGGGTTCAAGTCCTCCTTGACCACTTGCTAGTGACATTGGGCAAGTGACTCTGAGCCTTGTTTTCATAAATAGGAAGGAGAGTTATGCCAACCTCAATCGGCTACTGTGAGGATTAACTGAGATAATATTATAAGGTGACAAACCAGGCGGGCGCATAGTGAACGCCTAAACAAATGTTTTTAAAGAATCAGACCCCTGAAATTCCAAATGAGAAAGTCTAAACTAAGGGCATGTCCAGGGCTGTGATGCTAAAAGGAGACCAGCATAGCCTCATTGTGGAGGTCAGAGCACAGGCTAAGCTGAGTCCAGAAGGACAAATGTGAGTCAGATAGACAAAAGCGTGGGAGAAACGGTGTCCCGAGCAGGGGAAGAAGCGATGGTAGCTGGGTTTAAATGTAGCAATCCAGCCAAGTTCTCTTATACTTAGAAAAACCCACTCCTTTGTGGAACATTCAGGGACCCCAGGTAGAACCCTCGCCCCTCACATCTGAAGCCAAATAATCCATCCTGTGAGAGCTCCGTCCCCGTCGCTAAGACTCAGCGTCCCTGGGAAGGGTGCCCCTGCGCCCTGTGATCAGACCCTGGCACCTCAGCTAGGAAAGCTGCTAAGAGCAGGTTCTGCTGGGGGTGGGCAGTGGGGACATCTGACAAGTGACCAGCTGAGGACAGACTCTGAGGGCCACACTTGAGGAAATGGTCTCCTCAAGCAGCATCAAGACCTTCACTTAGTGCTCGTCTCCTTCCCTCCTTATGTGGGACCAGCTACACCTCCGCTACCCTTCACCATCCCGTAGACGGGGCTTTGGGAGCCAGAAGAGTTTAAAACGATGCCCTGTGACTCGGTGAGATGCAGGCCACAGTACGTGGCTCGCTGACTTCCATCTCCTCTTGAAAATTCAGAAGGGCTGTCCACACCAGGCCTACACTCCTGAGCAGCAGCAATCCAGGGGCAGCTGGGTCAGGGTCAAGGCTGCTTCAGTTAAATGGATGTTTATTGAATTTAAAGAGAAAAATGAAAGGAAGGCCCAAATCCAGAAAAAATTAGTCAGAAACAACGCCCTGTCAGGGACACCTTTTACCTACCCTGTTAACCACTGTCTCCCCATTGCCTCTCACAGAGCCTGGCCTAGAGCGGGTGAAGGGTAACTGTTGTGGAATGAATGGATGAATCAGTGGGTGAATCTGTAATGCCTCTCCACACCCCCACCACTCTTATCTTTGAAGCACCTCTGCTGTCATCTTTGACACCCCATCCTATGTTAACGTGTAGGTCAGTAAGCAGAAGGGCTTCCTGGGAACATTTTGTTCCTGTTCTGGTCTCAGACACAATACTATGGCCTGGCAAACAGACGGCTTGGTGATTTAACCTTGCCCTATTTCAAGCAAAATGTCCTTGCCAGGTTTATTCTCAATGACACCAACCTGCGGCAAGGATCTTTGGAATGAACGCCTCTGGTTTGGTCCTGCCTGGCAAACACATTCCCCAAGTGTCATTCTTTCATGGCCACATGAGAGGTTGCTGGAAGTGCTAACACTCCCTTCTCCTAGCCAAAGGGAGAACTGGGGTCTTGACTCTCAAGCCCTGAACAAGAGGAGCATCAGTGGCAGCAGCTGCCGGCCAGGATCGCCCAGCTTGCTAAGCACTTGCTCCCAGCTGGACAGAGTTGGTAGGACTTTTGCTATTCTGTCTGCCACAGCTGCTCTCTGGGAAGGGAGGCCGGAGGCTGTGGGGCTGGCCTGTGTAGACAGAGGAAGGTGAGAGGACGAGGATGGATACCCGCTCATCTTATTGAAACAATGACTCTTATACCCACCAGACTGATTCCAGAGGAGCTAGGTAGCTGAAGGGCATTGTTTATGCCTGCAACAGTATTAGCTGAAAAAGGCAGGCTGGTGAGCAGGCAGCTGCCCACCCTCCAAGTCAGCTCCTTTCCTAAGCCAAGGACGTGATGCAGGTGATGGTCAAGGGCTGGAGAATGGCCAGGGTGGACTTTGGGAAGATTGCTGGGATTAACAGCAGTGCTCTCAGCCTCTCAGCGACCTCTCTGGGCCTTATTCTGTACAATTAGGGTAATAGTCAAGATATTTAACAACCAGCATGTCATAAGCATTAGCCACTGAGACTAAAGAAGGGCTTTTTTGCAGGAAGTCTCAGCTGCACCTGGTCTTAGCCCCTTGGCTGTTGGATGGTAGAGTGATGGGGAGGGACCTGGAGAAAGGGCCGGGGTGCAGGCGTAGGGAGAGGCCTTGGGGAGCTCAGGGCATCCATTATTTGCCTATCAGTATAGGCCCGTTTCAATATATTAACAGCCAGTATGGCATTCAGTACTCCGGCTGAATGTCGTCAGCTCTGCTGTAAAACATGAGAAAGGCAGATTCAATCCTCACACTTTATGTGTATCAGAATCACTCGGAGAGCTTGTTGAAAACACAGGTGTTCAGTTCCTATTTCAAAATTACCGAACGACACTCTAGGGCCCAGGTGAGGCCCACTCTGCTTGTGAGACCCGAGTGCCCTGGATCAGCTGATATCTAAGGGTCCAGCTCTCACTTTCAAGAGGATTCTGATGACTCTGAGAGATGAAATTCGGCACACGGTCTCTAGGGAAACATGCCCAATTCAGGTGCAGCTCACGTGACTGAGGGAGGCAGGCTGGCGGGGCCATGGCAAATAGACGAGTGCACGTCCATCTAACTGAAGCAGCCTTGACCCTGACCCAGCTGCCCCTGGATTGCTGCTGCTCAGGAGTGTAGGCCTGGTGTGGACAGCCCTTCTGAATTTTCAAGAGAAAATGGAAGTCAGCGAGCCACGTATTGTGTCCTGCATCTCACCGAGTCACAGGTAGGGTATTGTTTTATTTTTATATATGTGTGTATGCATGTGCATGCGCGCGTGCGCGTGCATGTGTGTGTGTGTGTGTGTATATATATATATTTCATAAAACAACCACCATATACCTACCACCTAGCTTTTTTTTTCTATTCTTTAACTTTTTAAAATTTTATTGGGGAATTGGGAGAGGGGAGCAATGTTGGGGAGTTGAGGAAGGGGAACAGCCAAGTTGTTGTCCTTCAATCTTAGCTGTGGAGGGCATAGCTAGCTCAGCTCCAAGTCTAGCTGCCATCCAGCTGCCCATCAGCAGCTCACAGCCGCTCAGCTCAAGGTGCCGTGTTCAATCTTAGTTGCGGGTAGGTGTAGCCCACCATCCCATGCAGGAGTCAAACTGGCAACCTTGTTGTTAGGAGCACGTGCTCTCACCAGCTGAGCCATCCTGCCATCTGTTGGCAGCTCAGCTCAGGCACAGCTCACTGGCCCATGTGGGAATCGAACCGGTGACCCTGTTGCTCAGAGCTCACGCTCTTAACCAACTGAGCCACTCAGCTGGCCCCCACCTAGCTTTTTTAAAAATAATAATAATACCATTGAAGCCTGCTGTGTGCTTCTCCTAGTCTCATTCTTTCTTCCCCTCTCCCCATTCCTTGTCAACCGCTATCCTAAACTCCATGCTTATTGTTCCTTTATACATGTCCCACACACGTACCATATGGGGTCTTCAGTGCAGCCTACACAGGTGCACAGAGTACAATAAACACTAGTCAAAGCAAATATTGCAACCTGAGGCCTTAGATACCCCACCTGAATATCGGAACTCCCCTCCAGCTTCCGTCACTGGGACCCACTGCTGGGAGTTGAAATTTTGATGCACCAGCATGTCTGGTTTTGAGAAGTTCTAAGTTTTGAGGGATTTTTACACGAATCCTTCCAAATATAGCTATTTGGGGAGATC